GTAATAATAAACTATAACGTACACGAGAAATAGGTGAGTTTACGTATATCGTCTAACTATATTTTGTTCTTCTATATATAAAATAACGTATATATATATATATATATATATATATATATATTCAGATCTTAGTCACATATCAGTTTATAAGCATTATAGTTCAGGCTACCATTTTAATCGTAATCCAGAAAACTGATCCAGGATATAATACATAAGCTTTGATTTGATCTTAAAACTGATCCAGGATGTAATACACAAGCTTTGATTTGATCTTAAAACTGATCCAGAATGTAATACATAAGCTTTGATTTGATCTTAAAACTGATCCAGGATGTGATACATAAGCTTTGATTTGATCTTAAAACTGATCCAGAATGTAATACACAAGCTTTGATTTGATCTTAAAACTGATCCAGGATGTAATACACAAGCTTTGATTTGATCTTAAAACTGATCCAGAATGTAATACATAAGCTTTGATTTGATCTTAAAACTGATCCAGGATATAATACATAAGCTTTGATTTGATCTTAAAACTGATCCAGGATGTAATACACAAGCTTTGATTTGATCTTAAAACTGATCCAGAATGTAATACATAAGCTTTGATTTGATCTTAAAACTGATCCACGATACAATACACAAGCTTTGATTTGATCTTAAAACTGATCCAGAATGTAATACATAAGCTTTGATTTGATCTTAAAAGTGATCCACGATACAATACATAAGCTTTGACTTGATATTAAAAGAAGCACTTTTTTGTACATAGAATTGTATTTGTTGTCATAGATGTGTGTTTTTTGTAAAAAAGATTAATATACAAGTAATAGTTACAAAGTGAACGTTATCCCAAAAAAGGCGAATAATAATAGGAAAAAAAAAGACAAACAAAAGTTGATAAGTAATAAAAACAAAAGCTGGTTGTTAAGAAAAGACAAATTCTTCGGTAACAAATAAATAAGGACAAAAGTTGACACGTAAGGTAATATATAAAGACGAATAAGCAAGAAAATACAAAATATTATATAATACATAATTGAAAAATTGTACATGACTTAGCACGTAGTTCGAAACTTATAATTACCAGTTGTAGCTTACCTCCTTTTCCCAGGCGCAGTGTACGAGCATGTTCTTCAGTAGACCCATAAACAAAGCTGGCATCAATGGGTCCCGAATTTAAGTTAATGTGTACTCTGGGTCCTGGCAATACAAATCGTCAAAAGATAAATTATTATATTATTTAGGTTAAGAAGGGTTTTACTTCATGTAATGTTAATAGGATATTAACTAACATTAAGTTAAGATGGGTTTTACTTCACGTAATAGTAGGAGGATACTAACTAACATTAGGTTAAGAAGGGTTTTACTTCACGTAATGGTAGGAGGATACTAACATTAGGTTAAGATGGGTTTTACTTCACTTAATGTTAATAAGATACTAACTAACATTAGGTTAAGATGGGTTTTACTGCACGTAATGGTAGGAGGATACTAACTAACATTAGGTTAAGATGGGTTTTACTTCACGTAATAGTAGGAGGATACTAACTAGCATTAGGTTAAGATGGGTTTTACTTCACGTAATGGTAGGAGGATACTAACTAACATTAGTTTAAGAAAGGTTTTACTTCACGTAATGGTAGGAGGATACTAACATTAGGTTAAGAAAGGTTTTACTTCACGTAATGGTAGGAGGATACTAACTAACAATAGGTTAAGAAAGGTTTTACTTCACGTAATGTTGGACATGCTCTAATTCAGTTTATATTGAGAAGAATTATACTTCGCATGATGTTAGGAGATCTCTAATTTTAGGTTGAAAAGAGTTTTATTTTACATCATGTTGAACACACTCTAATACAATCTAGATTGAGCAAAGTTCCACTTCACATAACGTCGGGCAAGTTCTAACACAGATTAGTTTGGAAAATGTTTTACTCACATATAATCAAACAATGTCTAAATCTAGATTCGGAAAGGTTTCACTTCACATAATGTTGCACAAGCTCTAATACAGTTTAAATTGAGGAGGGTTTTATTTCACATAACGTTGCACAAGGTCTAATACAGTTTAAATTGAGGAGGGTTTTATTTCACATAACGTTGCACAAGTTCTAATACAGTTTACATTGAGGAGGGTTTCACTTCACATAACGTTGCACAAGCTCTAATACAGTTTAAATTGAGGAGGGTTTTATTTCACATAACGTTTCACAAGTTCTAATACAGTTTAAATTGAGGAGGGTTTTATTTCACATAACGTTTCACAAGTTCTAATACAGTTTAAATTGAGGAGGGTTTTATTTCACATAACGTTTCACAAGTTCTAATACAGTTTACATTGAGGAGGGTTTTATTTCACATAAAGTTAGACAATGTCTATTCCACTTTAGGTTAAAAAGGTTTTCGCTGGGAGTGGCTCACTGTGTTCAAAGCTGAAAAGTCATGTTTATTCTAAACTTTAGTACATCGTATTTTATCTAACATCCCAAATACAGTGAAATGTTTTTACCTTGCTTAACCATTGGAGTGAATTTACTGTGTTTTATACCGAATGGGTCGTGCTTTACATCAAGATGAAAGATCAACTTTAAACTACATTAGAAAAGCCTTACTTACCCTCAAGCCCATATCTAAGGGGGTACGAACCAACCCCCTTCCGCCGGAGTTTTACTCGCCTATTAAAATTTATTTATTTTTTCTTTTATTTGATGATGACCTCTCATTATGTAATTGCTTTTGTAGTACTGTGTTTACATGCAGAAATAACATTTTGATACTTATCAGAGGAAATTTACTAAAAATGTTTATTAGCAGTCATAATAAAGGAATCATTACATACATCTGATTTTTTTTTTCGTCCCTGGGCACTAAAATTATACATGAAACGAGTTCCACTTTGGACCAAAAAGAACACCCTATTTCCAAATTCCAGACCTGGCTACGGACTTGTTTACCTTTAAGTTACAAGAAGTCTACTTCATTTAATGTTTCAATAACCCTACATTTCATAATCTTACAACAGGTTTACTTTAAATAATATTATCATTTTCTTACTTTGTTAAAAGTTTGAAAGATCCCAATCCACGTTAAAAAGAAAAAGAGCCTTACTTCTGCTAATCTTGGAAAAGTTCTACTCTGCCCGTACATTTGAAGGTAGACGCTGAAACTATCATATTTCTTACGAAGCTAAAAATTGTCTTACTTCTCCTTACTTTACAAAACGTTCTGTTTAATCTTACCTTTCAACTCTGCTACTAATCATAAAGACGAAAAGGTTCTTACTTTTTTTTGGAATGGTTCTGTTCAAGTAAATTTGGGAAAGGTTCCGCATAACCTAACATTGAAATAGGCCTAATTAAGATGACGTGGTATTTTTTTGTTCTTCATATTTATGGTGAACCATGTATTCTATATTTAAAAACTCTTACTTGTTCTATTTATTATTAGTTGAACGTCCCCAATCTAGCTACTTTTAACGAAAAATTATAACATTTAATTTTATTATTCATGTTTCCTTTTCTTGAACAAATTTCTCTACATAAAATAATAATAATATTTAATACCACAGCAGAGGAGGCGCTAGGTACTTAAAAGATTCGGGGCCCGGGTCCATAAGCGCGAGAATTTTCGGCGTTTCAGTATGACATCGATCATGGTTTTCTAATCTGACCTTTCAAGACACCAACTGGGGATTCGGGGCACGGGCTCCGTGTGCCAGTGCCTAGCGACACCTCTGTACCACAGTTTATTACATTACATTTCTTACGTCTTCGTTCTAAGCTTACCAAGAGTACATCCGGGTCTTTGTCCTGCCAACAGACGTTTGAACTCCATACAAGTCTGGCCGTAGCGAGAATAGAAGGGATCATTTGGGGGAATGTCAATTGTCATACAGTTAGGATGTTGGTTACTTTTAGAGATATTACAACAATTGAAGTTTCTGTTATGTTGATCTAAAATAGAAAAATACTTATAACATACAGCATACAGTCAGGAATTTGGATGTAATATAAAAATTACTTATAACATACAGCATACAGTCAAGATTTTGGATGTAATATAAAAATTACTTATAACATACAGCATACAGTCAAGATTTTGGATGTAATAGAAAAATTACTTATAACATACAGCATACTGTCAGGATTTTGGATGTAATAGAAAAAATACTTATAACAAAGAGCATGCAAATTTCTAAGGCATTACAAAACGCTCTTTTTAAAAAAAAAGTACACTATTACAAGTATTCATGGCCTATATTTAAAATAATGACGCAATGCAGTTAGTTCCATAGGAAAAAAACTGCCATCATAGTTTTATCTGGAATAAAAGTCAAACTTTGTAATTTTATGAATTCTGAAATAATTTAGTGGCGCATGTGTTAATGTTCGCTCTACATTTTGTGTGTTATAAGAGTGACAGTCTAACCATACTGTTTGAAAAGAGAATCTAAATAGGTGGCAGTGCTGTTGTTGTGTAGTTCTATCAGTATAAAATTAAGGACAGGAAGCATTATCTTCGTAGATAACAAATGTTTGTTTGTTCTGAATTTCGCGCAAAGCTACACAAGGGCTATCTGCGCTAGCTGTCCCTAATTTAGTAGTGTAAGACTAGAGGGACGACAGCTAGTCATCACCACCCACCACCAACTCTTGGGCCACTCTTTTACCAATGAATAGTGGGATTGACCGTCACATTATAACGCCCCACGGCTGAAAGGGTGAGCATGTTTGGTGGGACGGGGATTCGAACCCGCAACCCTCAGATTGCCGGGCCGACACAAATGTAGTCCTTGGAAAGCTACTATTATTAAATGAATGACAAACTGAACAGGAGTAATAGGTCAGGATCCGGTGGTCAGACACACTTTCCAGATACTTGACTGAGAATTCACAGGTGACTTAATATATTATTTGATTTGATTATAATAGCTTTTCTTAACGTAGCTTAGGATACCAATGGTATACACAAATCATCACTCATTCCACCAACCACGTTATAAGAACCAACAGCCAATCACATTACGCTCACTTCAATCTTCGCGTACACCATATAAACCCCTGCAGAAACCAAGCAAGTGCCACTCTGAACTAGGCAGTTGGTGCCTATTTTAATCTTTGTTCATCTCTGCCTAAGTTATCTATAAAAGTTTCAATGTTACTTTTAAGCTTTTAGTCTTTATAAAACTAATGCCAGGACCATCCAGAAAGAGTCCTGCAAGTAAAATGTGGTGTTTTTTATCAGTTGAGAATTTATGAACATAAAGATCAATGACAAAATCCGTCCACGTGCTCCTGGCAACAGCAAGCAATATAATTAAGTAGAGCCCCTATCTGTAAAATAGGCCAAAAGGATATGAGTAGTCCACCAAGATAAGGCTTCCAGTCATATTTCCTGTGCATCCAGTGCATACCACTAACAGATGTAGAATAAAAAAGGTATTCCTTATATGGCATATGAAGACATACAAGTCAAATTTCCGAATGCAGCGCTTATGGATTTCTGTACCGTTGAACTGTTGGAATAGTTGCTAGAAAATGTAGTCCACAGAGACTAGATGGAATACAGAAAGCAAGCAAGGAGGAAGGGTGTGCTTTGGACATGACACCTGTACGGCGGAGGCTTTTTTCGTAATCGAAGCTACGGTGCAGGGCTATTGTAAAAATTCACGGTCATCTTGATCGGGCTCAGCGACATGGACTGTAACACTGTTGAATACAATGTGCTCAATCCTCTGTAGAAGGTGTGAAATAAAAAATTTTGATGTTCGCAACAGTTATATATTACATTATGATTGAAGACTGTAATGACTACTATTAGGCCTGGCATGTCCAGATGGTTAGGACGCTCGACTCTTAGTCTGCGGGTCGCAGGTTCGAATCCTCGTCTCGCCAAACATCATCGCCCTTTCAGCCGTGGGAGCGTTATAATGTGACAGTCAATCCCACTTTTTGTTGGTTAAAGAATAGCCCAAGAGTTGGCGGTGGGTGGTGATGACTAGCTGCTTTCCCTCTAGTCTTCCACTGCTAAATTAGGGATGGTTAGCACAGATATCCGTCGTGTAGCTTTGCGCGAAATTCAAACCAAAATAAACCAATATCTATAAATAGATTCGAATATTTTCAGACTCCTGGAGAACTATTACCTAAACCTAAAGGTCAGATGAAAATATTGTTGAATAAGGTTCCTAGAAAATTTCATGCGAAAGTACTTTCATAAAATCGACTGATCAGTTAAAAACTTAAATACAAGATTGGTCGGTATAGTAAAACGTATCACACTTACCTCTAGGTAACGCCCCTAGAGTCAAGTCGTGGTCAATAAACTGACCCCAGGACATGATGAGAATGGATAATTCATTACTTGGGATATTCGTATCAGTATGAACGAACGAGCTGATGATACGAACTGGGGGTAGCGGCCCTCCAGTGATCGAAGCTCGAATAGCAGAGATACCTATATATAGATATAAATGTTATAATGGTTTCTGGATTATTAGTATTATATCTCATTGCTGAATCTTCATTCACCAAAGTATGTGACGCTCAAACGCGTGTCTCTTCTGGTCTTGAGCACAGAATACGCATGATGGAACCACACATGGTTTTACAATGACTATCATTGGTTGATTTAAATGTCCCATAACTCTCGTTAATGAGCAATATAAATTCAATGGAATTACCAAACAGTAAGAGAGAGTATTATTTAAAATTTAAAAATTAAACATAGAATAATACACATAAAAAATACATTCCCTTTTCCCTTCTCTTTGTAAGCACCCGCCAATAAAGTCTTCAGAGCCATTTCAATACCATTAGGTGGAAAAGAAAACTTGCGCAAACACAAGTTAAATACATTCTTAAGACTACTTCTCACCCTATAAAACATATAAATTGTCCAAACATTATATCTTTATGAAAACATTGTTTCTTATTATAAAGTAAACGAAAATGTATGACAGGAGGACATAATACACCTGGTGTTATTATGAAAACAATGTTGTTCTAATTTAATCATTAGAATACTGACAGTGTCAATGAAAACAGACTATTTTATTGTTAAAGTTACAACGAGTTTGGAGCAATATTTTAGACTACAAACAAGCCAGAATCGTGTAAAATGGTACTTGCAATTCCAGATCTATTTTTTGTCTGCTACGAGTCATTGTTCAAGTAGATTTTCAATGGCAGAATTATCCAATTAGACTAACTCTACAGCAGCCATTTGAATCATGAGATAATAGCAGATGCAGTATCTAAAAGGATGATTCATTACATGTTTAGGTCTATATAATCGCTAGCTAAGGCGTCTAATACGGTAATGTTAAGTAATATGATTACTGATGACGTAAATGTAACTGGTGTTACTACTAAATCGTGTTGTACTTATCTGACCGGTATTACAGTGGATGATAGAGTCCTAATTATTGGTGACTGATGTATAAATCATATTATTGATGGAATCTTAGTTATCACCCCCACCCCACCTTGCAGTTTTACTTACCATCAGGATAAGCAGGGGGTAAGAAGCGAGTGAAAGGTGTATTAGTCATACCCCAGGTGGAATGTAGAACATTGTTACAGATTTCTGAGAATGATCTGAATCGTTCAATAGTGCAGGGGACAGGTTTCACATGGGCGGGGCAAATGTCCCATATATTAGTACGTGAGGTGTCAATCAAAGGCAGGCCGTTGACTATTTCATCACGGGACAATCTAAATCTTAAATATAGAAAAAGTAACAGTAAATATTAGTACAATAACTCCCATTTTTAAAATGCAATATAGATTAAATACTAAACTTTTACCGCTGAAGGGTACACAGATCTTGTTTTTTCTTTTTTTTACTAAACGAATTTGTCAGTTTGACAAGGTTCTTCAGCAGCAAACATCAAGGATGCAGTTTTATTATAGGCGCATATAATTAGTCTTGTTATGACATTTATGTAAAGTACCACTAAGGTAGATCACATATAATTATTCTTGTAATGACATTTATGTAAAGTACCACTAAGGTAAATTGCATATAATTATTCTTGTAATGACATTTATGTAAAGTACCACTAAGCTAAATCGTATATAATTATTCTTGTGATGACATTTATGTAAAGTACCACTAAGGTAAATCGTATATAATTATTCTTGTAATGACATTTTTGTAAAGTACCACTAAGGTAAATCGTGAAGTCTTAGTTAGCTATGTCCAAAAATTGTAACAACGTTTCTTGAAATTACAATTTGGGCAAAGTTGAGAAAAAAGAAAACCGCATAGCTAAAATCATAAATAATATTCAACGTTAAAATTGGTACACAATTAAAAACATTTTATTCAGCCCTTTGTTTGGAATTAAGCACAAAGCTACACAATGTGCTCTGTCCACCACGGGTATCAAAACCCGGTTTCTAGCGTTGTAAGTCCGCAGACATACCGCTGTGCCACTGGGGGGGCTTAGTTAGGCCTATCTATGTCCTTCAAAAATTTGACGACTCTACATGTTTCGACGTTGCATATCATTTATGTTTTTATCTTTATACACAATAATTACCGCATAGCTAGTTATAAACAAATAGTAACACCAAAAAATCTTAGCATCTTTTTTTTTTCTAAAAAATAAAAAAAACACTGCCTTTGATCTGTAATGGGTAAATAATAATAATAAAGTTATCTGCTTTAAATATAATAGTTTAAATACAATTAGTATAAAATAAACTAATACTGTGCTAGAAAACTGTGGTTTATTAGACTGCGTTGAATAACTGATCTTCTTATTCTAACATCTTGTGGGTTAAACGAAATGTGAGAAAAACGGACAGTTTTCAAAAACAAATTACGCATTGCTTTCAATTGAACTTTAAAAACTTACGAGTAAAAAAAAAACAAGAATTACTATTCTTTTGTGCCCGGCATGGCCAGGTGGATAAGGCGCTCGACTCACAATCTGAGGGTCGCGGGTTCGAATACGCATCCCACC